ACATATTCTTTCATTATTTACCCAGAACCACCATGAACAAATTAAATTTCCACCATTTGTGGAATAAAATGGCTGGTTCCTGTGTTTTACAAAGTCTAACTGTGTACCTAACATGCTACATATCCTAAATACACATAATTAAATCATATTTTCATGCTTTTTGAATACTTTGACTAAATTACAGCATGACTGCAATGACGCACACTAAATATTTGTTCATTAATGTTTTTCTTTGCACATCGCATGTCTAATATTTCATTTCAAGCATGCTTTTCACTGACACGGTTTTCTCATTGGTGAACAAATACACTAACTTTTGGGTATGGTAAAAATTTCTTTCAAAATGTATTCAATTCATTTTCATACAATAAATACTGAAATTCTGTATTTAATACAAAAAAAAGAAAATATTTTATAATAGATTATTGTACTTTGAGATAGAACGTATTGGTCTAGAGGGCAAAATGATAAAATCTATATAATAGTGCATTTGAAGAGATAAAATAAGTAATTAAAATTTTCCAAGGACTTAATGTGGCCTTGTTATTTAGGAAGAAAAGAAAAGTTAAAATCTGTTCGTTTTAATAAAAATCAACCCCTGGAACACAAAACTTCCTGTAGCCTCAGAAACATCCACCAGCTGTCAGAAGTACACATTTCATGACATTATGATAATGTTAATGAAAGTCAGTCCATTCTGCTTGAATCCTGTGACAGCTGCCACACTGCACAGTCTTTCAGTCGTTTCTTTTCAACCTGAAGTGCAGCGATTGTAGGTTTATTCAACCTGCCTGGCCGCGTATGTCCCCCAGGGCAAAACCCACGCAAGTGCAGCCTCCCCTGCTGGCTCCATTTTCACATTTGCCTAAGCTGTGAGCACCACAGAGTCACCACATGTTCTCCTATGTGAGCGAACTTATTAATTATTAAATCAACAATCTCGTAGGAAACAGATGGCACAGATAGCGGGCAGCTAACGCACGTCTGCCTGGCATTTTGTGTGTGTGTGTGTGTGTGTGTGTGTGTGTGTGTGTGTGCGTGATACTGTAGGTAAGTGGGTGGTTTTAGACTACCTAGGATCCGTCACATGTTTTAGCTGTATCTTGTGCCAGCTGGCTCAAATGCTGAATTGTGTGTATCGCATAAATATCACTATAGAGGATAATTGCAGTTGTTTTTGAATTGCTTTAAAATCCAAAAAAAGTGTGCTTTTTGTTTGTTCTTTCTGCTACACTGTGTTTACAATAACAGGAGCTGAAGTGCTAAAAAGCCATCATCACCCCACGTTTAACTAGCGTTTGTTATCAATAAACACTACTGTGTTTATTTTAATGCATCCTCAATTTGGATCAAGAGACTTAAATGAATACATCATGCTGTGCTACTATAATGAATGGTGTTGCTAAAAACAAACTTTTAACCCAAACAAGCCTCATCTATTAAAACTCTGCATCACAGAGAACCTGTCAAGCCAGATTCATTCAGATTGTTTTCTCAAAATGTAACTTTCAGTTACAGTATTTGCATTGGGCAGAAAATTGATTTAAAGCACATTTCACTCAAGAATGAAAATTCTCAAGTTGTTCAAAACCTGTTTGAGTTTCTTTCTTCTGATGAACAATAACAGGAGCTGAAGTGCTAAAAAGCCATCATCACCCCACGTTTAACTAGCGTTTGTTATCAATAAACACTACTGTGTTTATTTTAATGCATCCTCAATTTGGATCAAGAGACTTAAATGAATACATCATGCTGTGCTACTATAATGAATGGTGTTGCTAAAAACAAACTTTTAACCCAAACAAGCCTCATCTATTAAAACTCTGCATCACAGAGAACCTGTCAAGCCAGATTCATTCAGATTGTTTTCTTTTCTCAAAATGTAACTTTCAGTTACAGTATTTGCATTGGGCAGAAAATTGATTTAAAGCACATTTCACTCAAGAATGAAAATTCTCAAGTTGTTCAAAACCTGTTTGAGTTTCTTTCTTCTGATGAACACAAAAAGTTGGTAGCCATAGTAATTTTTTTCATACAATCATTCAGATTGTTTTCTCAAAATGTAACTTTCAGTTACAGTATTTGCATTGGGCAGAAAATTGATTTAAAGCACATTTCACTCAAGAATGAAAATTCTCAAGTTGTTCAAAACCTGTTTGAGTTTCTTTCTTCTGATGAACATTCATACAATGGAAGTCAATGGCTACCAGCAGCTGTTTGTTTACCAACATTCTTCGGAATATCTTCTTTTGTGTTCAAAAGTACAAAGAAACTCGTGCAGGTTTTGAACAAGGGTGTGTAAATGATGGCAGAATTTACATTTTTCCTAACTATCTATTTAATTATATAATATGCTGATTAAATAATCAAATGAAATGCAAATAATCACATACATCAATATTTGATGAAAAAAGCTTGCAAATTATGCAATATTGGGGCAGTAACTCACTGAATAGACATTTCAAAAAGTAGCTTAATAATTGTTTGTACTAAATTAACAAGGTAAATTGACCCTGACAGTAACATTTTCACAGAATTTCCCAAAATAATTTTAATGTCACACATCCGCTCCTGGAATGCATAGTAATATACTTGGCTCTATGGTGCAGCTAATGCTGAACAACTGGCTTAATGTATTTTTTTTCATGGTAAAGTGAGTTTTGTTAATTGCCAAGGAGATGTGTTCTGGGAAAGTCGCTTTCCAAATCATATGTTTATTTTGTGAATAAATCTGGCTTGATAAGCTCTGCTGCTTGACTGAGAGCAGACGCTCTCTCTCTCTGAGCTTTATTGCCTTCTGTTTCTGATTCTAATTTAATTTGAATGTGAATGGCATCTTCATCAGTGTTGACTGTATTAAATCTTTTTTTTCATCCCGCTAAAATATGGTTTTCGAATGGTGGTCGAGTGATGCCAAAGACTTCACAACAACACTTGCTGAGGGTGACCAGGCAACTGCTTGTGTCTTCACAGACAACAATAGACAGACACAATGACAGAAGAGCAGCACTGAAAAACCCTTGCCCCTGGGGGAAAAAAGCATTTCCATTTACAATAGCCTGAGTGATAATGTAAGAACAAACATTTATTCAGTTCTTCTGACGGCCACATTTGAAATATTCTGCAGTGGGCACTTGCTCCACAGTGCTTCATTTGCTCCACAGTGGCAAGTCCAAATGCCAAGCAGGCCACTGGGGACTCTGTCTTAGTACAGAGAGTCTTAAAGGTTTAAAGACACCTCCATACCTCTGAGTACAACTGTTATGCTTTTCAGCTAAGATACCAAAGACTTCATGACCCTGCATTTTTTTGTGTCTGTATTTGTGTGTCCCCATCTGAACGGAGTTCACTCTCAGAAAAGAAAGTACAAAGCCGTCACTGGGGAGGTCCCAGTGCTAGCTTTGTAATTTTTTTTTCTGAGAGTGAAACCTGTATTTTGTATTTTATATTCTAAGTTAAAAAAGCCAAAAGGTACATCTTTGATGTGAAATTTGAACCTATACTGTACGGTGCAAACTGTGTTTGAACCTACTTGCCTGGATCAAGAGTAGCTACTAACTACAGTACAACACCAATCCTCCAGCTGATCACGTTAACAGCATGAACTGATTAAGTGGCTCTTTTTCTACTTTTAAATACAATGCACATGAATTCCAACAGTGCTCTCAATAATGAGGGAAAACCCTTATCGCTAGCTAAAAAACAGCATCTAGTGGTAATCACATGCTCCAGTAAGCCACTGGCTGTGGTGGAAGCCCTCCCTGCTGTCTAAATATAAATCTGAGCATTATCCTTGCTAGCCCACTCCTCCGTCCCACTGATTGGATGAGCGATTTCACTTTTCACCATCCCTGTGTGAACAAAGGCTTAGCACGGCTGGTTAAATTGCTTCCTTTGAGGGAAGATAAAAGTCCATACATTATTAATCCCCCCATGTTACTTCTGTTACACCAAAGGACAGCTAATGAATCTTGTAGACGTGTAGCGTCAATGTCTCTGTCTAACAGCCATCCTGTGTTTCACAGAGAAATTCACCTGCAAATTCACTCAAACAAGTGTTTTGGATGCTGCATGCTAACATAAATACAGTAATGTCAAAATAATACAATTAATCTGGATTTAGAAGGTGGGCTGAAAATATATTTCATTATTTATAAAAGTATGTCTTTAAAAGTAAATTTTCAATAAATTATATATTTCTTCATTTGTAAGAAAATGTACATAAAGTTATACTTTAAAAAACTATACATACTGCATTTAAAAGACGCTATAATAAAATAGCAAGTTGTGAGTGCATTTACTATTTATATCCAATAATCTGACTAACTTTGGCAAGCAGCATCCAGCTGGAACATTTGGAACACATAAAAGAGCATAAAGATAAGCCGCAAATAAAAAGCAAAACGTGTCTATGAAGGTCGGATGACAGTCTTGCTAAAGATTCCAAGTGACAACACTATTGTGCCGTCTTTGAAGTTTTTACAGTGAGCTACCTGAACCAAGAACTCCTGAAAACATGCCTAGTGTCCCTTATTCAATAACACTTCTGTAACCGTCACATTAGATTAGATTCACAAAGTCTAAATGCAGTAAAATGTGGAATAAAACTGATGCAGGGTGCAAAGAAAAGCTTATATTTAGCATGCTACTCTTATTTAATACAACAATTTTCATTAAAAAAAAACTATATTACGAGCTTTATAAGCTGTTTCTGCTACTAGAAGAACAAGAACAACTGTCCTTTTGTACAGAGAGGTTCATGTGGTCAGTGTCAAATTTGCATAGTGATTTAGAGACCTTCTTGTTCTGATTTTTTTTTCTTCTAAATTCTTAAACTAAAAACCTTATTATAATAAACTTTAAAACCTAGACCTTTTGATCTCACTGTATAAAGCCGTTTATTGAACAATAATTATTAGAAAACGTACGATTTATGTGTCATTGTGAAATAACTGTATGAAAGTATTTTTTAATAATTAAAAAAAAGGGCAACCACGTACCTCCTCGTTGAGGATTTCCTGACATTGGGAGTAGTTTCCCTTCTTCGCCCAGGTGCCATTGGCAAGACATTCTCTGTACACGTTATCTGAAGAAACACACACACACACACTGGTTATTGACTGCTCCCCTTATTTAATTTCTGAGTCAGATAAATAGTTTATATAATGTTTATTCTGAACATCTGTGGACAGATATGCCACTTCTTCATGCATGGTATGTAATCCATTACATAATTAAAAAGTTATGCAATATGACCCAAAACACTAGGAATATGAATAGGGCAACAGTCAATATTTGACCTCACGGTGCATGAAGGTTTGACCTTAGCATGGATATCTAGTTAACCTTGACTATATGATAAAATCTAGTCTCACATAAAACTGATGTATGACTGCAAACCCCCCATGCTGTGCAGTGAAGAGACGAGTGTAACCTAAAACTGATAGAACAGAAAACTTCAAACATCTTTTACTCAATTTTGGTTTACAAACATCTCCTGAAACTTGAAACATATGTGGTAAAATCCATAATGGTTGCAGAATTGTATGAATAAAAAAGCGATTTCAGGTTTCATTTCTCATTTCCATTTCAGTGGTTTCCAATTTCATTGTGGGACATTTCCTCTACAAGGCTTTTATTGTGCTTTGAACAGCCATTGTTAGATCTGGTTGAAAGTTTTCTTCTTCAAAATTCCATAAAATAGGTTGAAATCCAACAACATGAGAATCTGGGGCAAAGTTATTTTCACTGAGCACTCAGAACTCTGCTGACAGAAATGTTGAAATACAGTAGAACCATAAGCATTTTATCCAGCGACACTTATATTACTCTCTTGCAGGAACAATGTCTTCCTCTATAGTATTAAGGTTGGAAATGGGGTTAGTATTGCATTATGCTTCCGGGAGCTGTCCTGTTAAAGACTAACAGATACCTCAACCAGACTAACTTAATCACTAATCTGAAACCCACACATTAATAACTGTCTGTTACCACTTCAGCCATTGGAGCAGCTAATTTCAGGTTTGATTTTTTTAATAAGAATTTTTATCTAAAAAAACAAACAAACAAAAAAAACGTCTCTCCCCATAGCGACCCCTAGAGGACGCAGTTCGAAGTTCCCATGAAAGGGAACATAAATTTATTTGAAAAAGTATTAAAAAGTATTATGACTTGTTCATCACAGTATATATCTTGAAATAAATGTAACTTTGTTTATAAATCTGCACATTTCTTTTGAAGTCAGTATGAAACTTTTATTACAAATACACTAAACATGACACTAGACTTTGACTTCAGCTTGTAATGAAACATTCTAGTGTGTTGCATCTAAAAATCTTTAAATATTTTAGTACCATCAAGATACTATTATACAGTAGTTTTTATTAATATTTTAAATTAGTTTTGATGTTTTCATTTTAATTTTAGTTAAAGTTTTAGTAATTTTGTTGTCTATAATTTTTATTAATTTGTATTTTAGTATTAGCTATTTAGTGCATCAAGTTATATATATATATATATATATATATATATACTGTATATATAATATTTTTATTCAGTAAGAATGACTTAAACTGATTAAAAATTATATTAAAGACATTTATAATGTTACAAAAGATTTCTATTTGTAATTTCTATGTTTCTTGAGCATCAAATCAGCATATTGCAATGATTTCTTAAGAAATGGCTGCTGAAAATTCAGCTTTGCATCACAGGAATAAATTACATTTTAAAATATAAGAGAAAATTACATTTAATAATCTATTTAATAATCTAAATAATAATATATTTTAAATTGTAATAATATTTTACAATATTACGTTTTAACTGCAATTTTGATTAAATATATGTAGCTTGGTATAATGCAGCATATTTATTTGAATTATTTCAGCATTTTCATTTCAATATTTCAAAAAACAAACAAACAACAACAACAAAAAATCTAACCTTCCTCAATCAAAATTTTCCCTAAAGGACGCATAGATATTTAGCTGAATAACAATACAATATATTTGAACATTTAGGCTTTACAGCTTTCCTTGGAATATCTCCTTGGAACTATGCATCTAAATATTCTTTTCCTTTGAACTTACAGTACACAAAGGTTGCTCGTTAACTTTTAGCTAATATGAGAGTCCTCCACTGGTTGAAAAACAAAACATAAAAAAAAAACTTTGTCACAGATTCTTCTGTACTATATTTTTGTTTCCATGGGAACTGGTGCAACTGTTGCAACTTTACCAATTTGTGCATGTATGTAGAGCAAAGATTCAACTCGAGGTGATGCTACAAGGTGATTAGAGCCCTGATTGCCCTATAGGCCCGACATCAGCGCCCATCATAACAAGACACAATTACTGGAGTGATATCAGCTAGAGCTTACCATCCATCATAGAGCTGTGACAGTAGAGGACAATGGTATTGAAAGGACATGGCTGTTTTTCTTAATCCATGCAAGCTAGAGGCACACTATACATCGAGGGAATGATAAACATACAGCAATAGTTGCACCAAAATGCCTTTTTTTTGTCATTACACAATGTCAGAAGTTTGGTGAGAAGCAGAAGTCAGGAAGAAGTTGAGAGGAATCTATCTGTCAGTCCATCCATCCATTCATCCATCATGTGTGAACTGACTATCTATCTTATTAACATATTAATTAATCCAACTTTAGAAATATAAGTATGTAGTACTATTAAGGTTTCAACATGATTTTTTTTAAGATGGTGGGGGTTGTTATGTCATATTTTGCACTAAAAGGCCATGCATTATTTCTTTTTTATGTGTTGTTTTCTCATGATTAAAGTGATAGGGGGTCCAAGAAATAATTTGCTATAGCCTAAAGTATTTCCAGACTGTAAAGTCGCTTTTTTTTATCATGATACATAGGCCTACTGTGATTTATTCCAAAGTGACTTATATGATGCATTTAATGTAAAATAATCTAAATGAAGCATATTAAAAGACGAGTATTCCCTGTGGTTCATGTCTGTGGCATGCGCCAGAAAGTTGCTCAAGGAGACCGAGATGCGCTAAAGCAGCGCATTCTGTTGTTCTCTTTACTTTTCAAAGTCATGACATTTTGTAGTTATTTTTAAAGTAACGTTACACAATTAAAAATATACATTTTACCATACGACTATAAATGGCAGAGTACTAAGTTATTTCCCCTCGATGGGGAAAAAAATCCAAGAGAACATCAATCAGTGAATTAATTAATTTCTTAATTAAACAAACAAACAGACTTACTGGGTGAGAAGGTAGGCTATGACAGCTGTCATATCATACCCTGCCATGCCCAGCTCATGCAAAGAATAGAATTTATATCTACACAGAAGAAAGCCCTGACTAGACTCTGCCCCAGTATGAGTTGTGTCGAGCTATTCATTAGCCTGTTTGTTTGATGAAAAAAGATTAAATGTAGTTGCAATAAATGCGTTAAGAATCCATACAACTGCAGCAGTGGAGGACTATTATTCTGCTGCATGATACTGGGGAATAACTGATGAAGGTACGGTTTGATCTTCGGCTGACCAATCAGCAGAAAGGGTATTTTAATTCCTGCCCACGTGTAGAAATCGAATATTCAAGCTGTTTATTCATTTTTCTACCCCTGAACGAAGAACGAAAAACAAAAATTTAAGCTGAAGGAGACGTTTTCTAATTTTTCTACTTTCAATATTAAATCAAAAAACTAATGATCGAATGATACATGGATTCTTCTGACACATTTCAAAACTTTAACTCGACTGGTAAAAGTAGCTGAAGAGCCCAGAGAGAGTCTTGAAACAGTGACTCAAACTCACTTGCATTTAAAAACAAAAATTGTGAACTCAACCCAAACACTTACTGCAGGGAAGGAAACACTCTTTCCATTATTCTCTCTTACTAACTTCCTCTCGTCTTTGCCTTTTGCTCATGGCAATATTGATTGAGCATCTGAAGGTGAATGGCAGCTCCATAGATCACACAGGCAAACAGGGCACACAGGAACTGCTATACGGTGAGTCATCTGCCTCCTGTAAACCTCCACATCCAGCCGGTTTGATCAAACGCACAATTGCCTGAAGCAGATCTGATGGTGTGACGAGACAAATAGAAGGTTGTCAGTGCTTTCGCAGCCAGCATAGCCATTTCTGTGGTGATGAGTAGAGAACAATGCTGGAAAACAATGCTGCATTGTGACAGAGTGCTGAAGTATTTGTTAAACAACTGCTATGTGATTAGGAGGTAGTGTAAGATGAAGAGTAGAGAGGAGTGGAAATTCCCTTATCCTGCTTTTGGAAGTGGCATGCCGTCTTTTCTGACATGCAGCACTTAAAAAAAACAAAAACAAAAACAAAAAAAACACACAAGGTTTTTTTGAGTATGAAAAATTATATTAAAAGGCATGATATGTAAGATTTTTTTATTAAAATATCCAAAAAACCACTAGAATAGTGTTATATATTTTGCTGACTTGTGTACTTACATAATCCCAAATGTTTCGAAGAATGTTTAAATCCAGAGAAATAAGCAATTTTAACTAGTGACACGGACCGTGTCTGTAGTGTCATTGTGTGGCCTGCCAATGACGTCATAACCCCTCGATTTCCGAAACACCAAAGATGCTTTAATATGTTGTGCGTTTTATTAGACCGGTGACAACCGCACAGAGTAGCATAATAACAGAACTTTCAAATGTATCTAGTATGATAAAACAGCGCTGCTTTTTTTCCCCACATGTGCACGACCGGAAGGAGCGGAAGCAGTCGACTGTGGCATAATAAAAGCTCTGCTGCATTCGAGCCGTGTGTCATGCTCGTTCAGTGGCCTCGTTTCGCTTCGAAGGCGTTCAGCCTCACCCCGCTTCATTCTACTACGTTAATAAATCATTAGCTCATCCATGAACATGATTTCTGCCCGAGTCCCGTCGGATTGCATCGGCCGTGGGGATGAAGACCACAACTCCCATGATTCCACACTCAGTCACAGCGTCATCAAACTTGGCCTTTGCTTCTTTGTTTGTTTTGAATACGCACCCTCTAGCGGCGAAAATTACATATTGTGCCTTTAAACAATATAATTGTATTAAATACAGTAAGCTTT